ATGTCCCCTAGATGTAGATAATGATAATAACGGGATTAGAATACGTTTAGGGTGTTTTTTTGTGGTTCAACCGAAGTGAAAAAAATGCATTTTTGGCGATTTTTGTAGCATCAAAATGGCACCCTTAACGAGTTCAGAACCACTTCTAACCATTTTAGGATGGTGCAATGGAATGTCCCCTAGATGTAGATAATGATAATAACGGGATTAGAATACGTTTAGGGTGTTTTTTGGGGTTCAACCGAAGTGAAAAAAATGCATTTTTGGCGATTTTTGTAGCATCAAAATGGCACCCTTAACGAGTTCAGAACCACTTCTAACCATTTTAGGATGGTGCAATGGAATGTCCCCTAGATGTAGATAATGATAATAACGGGATTAGAATACGTTTAGGGTGTTTTTTTGGGGTTCAACCGAAGTGAAAAAAATGCATTTTTGGCGATTTTTGTAGCATCAAAATGGCACCCTTAACAAGTTCAGAACCACTTGTAACCATTTTAGGATGGTGCAATGGAATGTCCCCTAGATATAGAGAATGACAATAACGGGATCAGAATGCGTTTAGTATGCATTTTTGGGGTTCAACCGAAGTGAAAAAAATGCATTTTTGGCGATTTTTGTAGCATCAAAATGGCACCCTTAACGAGTTCAGAACCACTTCTATCCATTTTAGGATGGTGCAATGGAATGTCCCCTAGATGTAGATAATGATAATAACGGGATTAGAATACGTTTAGGGTGTTTTTTTGTGGTTCAACCGAAGTGAAAAAAATGCATTTTTGGCGATTTTTGTAGCATTAAAATGGCACCCTTAACGAGTTCAGAACCACTTCTAACCATTTTAGGATGGTGCAATGGAATGTCCCCTAGATGTAGAGAATGACAATAACGGGATCAGAATGCGTTTAGTATGCATTTTTGGGGTTCAACCGAAGTGAAAAAAATGCATTTTTGGCGATTTTTGTAGCATTAAAATGGCACCCTTAACGAGTTCAGAACCACTTCTAACCATTTTAGGATGGTGCAATGGAATGTCCCCTAGATGTAGATAATGATAATAACGGGATTAGAATACGTTTAGGGTGTTTTTTTGGGGTTCAACCGAAGTGAAAAAAATGCATTTTTGGCGATTTTTGTAGCATCAAAATGGCACCCTTAACAAGTTCAGAACCACTTGTAACCATTTTAGGATGGTGCAATGGAATGTCCCCTAGATATAGAGAATGACAATAACGGGATCAGAATGCGTTTAGTATGCATTTTTGGGGTTCAACCGAAGTGAAAAAAAATGCATTTTTGGCGATTTTTGTAGCATCAAAATGGCACCCTTAACGAGTTCAGAACCACTTCTAACCATTTTAGGATGGTGAAATGGAATGTCCCCTAGATGTAAATAATGATAATAACGGGATCAGAATGCGTTTAGGGTGTTTTTTTGGGGTTCAACCGAAGTGAAAAAAAATGCATTTTTGGCGATTTTTGTAGCATCAAAATGGCACCCTTAACGAGTTCAGAACCACTTCTAACCATTTTAGGATGGTGCAATGGAATGTCCTTTAGATGTAGATAATGATAATAACGGGATCAGAATACGTTTAGGGTGTTTTTTTGTGGTTCAACCGAAGTGAAAAAAATGCATTTTTGGCGATTTTTGTAGCATCAAAATGGCACCCTTAACGAGTTCAGAACCACTTCTAACCATTTAAGGATGGTGCAATGGAATGTCCTTTAGATGTAAATAATGATAATAACGGGATTAGAATACGTTTAGGGTGTTTTTTTGGGGTTCAACCGAAGTGAAAATATGGCGAACTTCATGAAAGCCTTAAGAACTTTGAAGTGGTTCAACTAGCTTCAAAAAAAAAACTATAGAGTTTTTTAAGAATTTCTAGGATTTTCAGAAATATTAAGAAAACTTAACTTTCCATTCTGAGTCATATTTTGGACACTTGATGTACAGGAGTTACTCAAAATAACTAGGATAGGCAACTTTTTGGTCAACTTTGGAGTGTTGTAACTTCGTCAAATATGATCCGATTTTAAATCTTCCAAGAGCATTTGACTGGAAAACTAATATTGTTCTACGGAGTAACCACGAAAATAATCCTGGTCACCGGATACCGGAAATATTTTGGGTTTCCGGAGGGCTTGTCTAACTTGCTAAATTGTTGGTGAAATTTAATATATGATGCTGGTTAAATACATATAATTTTAGTAAATACAACGAAAGAAGAACCATTCTTAAAGCGAATCATATGCAAACCGAGATATGGCCATTTCCCTGGAATCGGTTCTGGTGAAGGGTTTTGAATGCGGGCAGATCATTTAATCACTCAAAACATGCCGTGCGACAGCTCTTTCTTCATGGTTTCTCGTCAATAGACTTTCGATAAACTTTAAATGCATCATTGACCACATTGGCCACTCTCGGAACATCCAGTATGCCCCCGGGGGAACCTGGAGCAGGGGACAATTGCATTTTTACACCAAAACATGACATTCTTCATTGTTTTTCAAGAATAGGCTTTCCATAAACTACAAATGAATCATTGACCACATTAGCCGCTCTTGGAATCACGGGGTACCCCCAAGGGATCCTGTAGCAGGGGTCAATTGCGTTTTTACACCAATACATGCCGTGCGACAGCTTTTTCTGTAAGTTTTTTCATGAATAGGCTTTTGATAGACTTTAAATGGATTAGTGACCAAATTGGCCGCTCTCGGGACCTCCGGTATGCCCCCGGGGGAACCTGGAACAGAGGACAATTGCATTTTTACACCAAAACATGCCTCGCGACAGCTCATTCTTCATGGTTTTTCATGAATAGGCATTTATTAAACTTCAAATGGATCAGTGACCACATTGTCAGCTCTTGGAATCACGGGATATCCCCGGGGGAACCTCTAGTAGGGGGCAATTGCGTTTTTACTCAAAAAAAAAAATGCCGTGCGACCGCTCTTTCTTCATGGATTTTCATGAATATGCTTTCTATAGAATTGAAGTGGATCATTGACCACATTGACCTTTCTTGGGATGACCAAATTGACTGGAATGCCCTGGGGGGAACCTGTTGTAGGATGCAATCACATTTTTACACAAAACAATGCCATTGGGGAGCTCATTCTGGAACCAGCAGATGCCCCATGTAAGAGGAACATTGTATTTTCACTTCACAATGCCGTTCGACAGCTCGAACTATCTGAAGTTTGAAATGGACCATTGACTACTAGTCACATGTGAAAAGGGCATACAAGCTCTTTGTAAACAAATCTGTGTAGGCCCTTTTCTCGCCAACCGAGGGTCACCCACGCAAGCCAGCATCATCATCAGGAAGGGGAAAGCATCCCCTACCCGCTAATGTTGATGGTTTGCGTTGGTGTCACATGGGTAGCGATAAAAGGGCATAAGAAGGTTTGTTTACCAAAAGCTTGTATGCCCTTTTCACATGTTATTCTTGAATTATTCTCATGAATGCTAGATCATTGGAATATGACAAGAAATTTCATGATAGGTAGTTTCGTCTCGTGATAGTGAGTGGACCTGTTTTCTCATTCTCACATGACGGCCGTGATATTTACCAGCTGTGCATTTAGATATCTTTGGAGAATTTCAGAAATCTTCCCATAACTACAGAAAAGTCCACATATTTGGGGGAGTTTTAAAATCTAGAAGAATGAGATTTGATAAATTCAGGATAGTTTCTTGTTCGTAAGGAAAACTTCACGAGAATCCATAAGATGTGCCGAAGGGTAGAGTGAAAATTGAACAGAGGGTGAAATTGAGCGAAAGGCCATTGATTCAATAGCACTAATCAAATGCACACTCCTTTCCCTAGCTCACGTTTGGCTCATGGCCTTTTGACTCATTTAATGTCTGCCACTGTGGAATAGTTCTAGCGACGCTTATCACTACCGGAAGCCACACGTTTCCGAATGCATTTCCAGGCGATAGTGTTGTACAGTGTAACTCTTCTTTACCCCACTATTGTTTGCTTCTCTCATCATGACCAACTTAGTGATCTTAGAGAGAAACAGTAGGATGGTGTTGTGTGCTGTTCCACTTTCAAAGTTATTGTTATTTTTTGCAAGTGAGTATTTTACCTCATGGATACAATTTGACCTGTCTTCCACTGTTTATCTTAAGCTTCTTATCTTAACACTCCTTTTTCTCGAGAAAACGACATAGCGGATCATATGGTCAATAAATTATATTTGCATCCAACCAATCTAAAACACCGCTTCCTTTGCATCAATGCATAACAAATAGGTTGGTACATTTTGATTAATCAGTGATGAAAATTAGAAATTATCCTCCCTCCATCAACCAAGCAATCTATCAAAATTATCCCCCAAACTCTACTCGTGCTCGGTATGCAGATTTCGGGAAGCGCATGTAAAACTAACGCATCATCAAGTGACAATTTCTCGCTGATCATACCAACATACACCTAGGCACCATCGTTATTAATTTTCATAATTAAACTCAGTTTCAAGCTTTCTCCGAGAAGGTAAACGAGTGAGTGCATTCAGGAAAATTGCTAACATCATTGTCGCCACCGAACCCGAACTAACCCGCTGCCAACCAGGGTTGCTTCCACTCACTAGCTTTAAAAAATTGTTTTTCGGGATAATGAAATCATTAGAACCGAGAATGGTAATTAGTACTAGTAAGTTACAAGAAAATTTTGAAAACAACGTGTTTGATACATAAAACCTGTCATTATTACTTTCAGTGCGTCACAATCAGCGATGTGACGATTCGTGAGCGCTCACTCTGAGTGAACGCTCACGGGTCATAAATTCACTGATTGTGACGCACTGAAAGTAAAATTGACAGGTTCTTTGTGTCAAATACACACTTTCCAACCTCTTCTTGTATCTGACAAGTACAAAATATCATTATAGCATCCAATGATTCCATAAATTCAAAAAACATTCTTTAAGGCGAAGTGAGCGGAAGTAACCCTGCTGCCAACTATGCCACCACCGGCTTTTCATACCGTTGCTTTTGTTGCTGTTGTGTGGGATAACTTTCCGCGCTAGCTACTAGGCAAATGCATTCCGCTCGATGACACCAACTTTTGCTGCTGCTCCTGCATAATTAAAAACTTTTACACTGCACTCCGGGTTCGGTGCTTGTATGCGGTACAACGATTCGGGGATGCAATTTCACCCAAAGTCCGTACAACCAGAGCGTAGAAACTAGGCGATTCGGGCAACCTTGCCGCTGGTGGTTACATTCGGGTCCGGCACTGGCCCTCCTGCGGTGCAACGCTGCTGCTCCATGGAATCAAACGCGTCTCCATTGTTACTACTATCCAGATGATGCTGCGACGACGCTAAAAGCTGCAAGTGGCACTCGCTCTTCTTTTCAGCATCACTCACGCGATGGGTGGAAAATTTATGCACTCTCATTTTCCACCCGACGCTCGGCGGCTTTTGTGCGGGATTTTGTTATTGTGAAGTTTTTTGATCAGAGCTCGTCCTTTGACGGAATTTAAGCAGACTACGGCGGTAGAGTTCCGAGGGGTAGACACTTTCAGAAGTCTTCCCATGAACTTCTGCGAAGGGGAAAGCTTATTATTTCTCTACTCTTTGTGGTGGGGTTCGTCTTGTTTGAGTTCCTGGTAAGGAGCAAAGATTTTTAAGGAGACTTCTTTTGCGGGCTTTCAATTAGTTTGTCCCGCTCCGGAGCAGTCAATTAGTGTTTGCTTGTGTCTCAATGGCCATCGGCAACAGGGATTACGGATTTCTGTGGAAGGAGATGGAGAAAGAGAGAAACATTATTAATTCCACGATGACAGTGGCTTGCGATACAGAGTGAAGTAGAAACGGACATCAATTATAGTTTTAATAGGAATAGATGGTTATCCCTGGCTGCTGACCGTAATAATCAGTATTGTCTTGACAAAAATTGCTTTGAATTTGGACTTCTGAAGTGCTTCGTTAGAATTACGATGCGGTCGAAAGAATGATGAATCCAGCTTGAAGCATATCATCGAGAAGATTGCGTTGCACAGTCTGCTGAAGTAGAAGTTATTTCACGCTTTGTTCAAACAAATAAGGTCATGTAGATTAAAATAACTCTTATGGGCGAAGCGCTGAGATTTATCTAGATAACTTTGAAAAATTAAAACCGGGCAACTTAAAAAGTCAAATGAGTGAACCTCAGTAAACTTCTGATTTATGCCAAGGGCTCACAGGTTGTATCAAGGAGCTTTACTGATCACCTCACCAGGTTTTATGGGCAAGATATAAAGTTCCATTGAGTCTATAGTAGATGCCATACGCGTTATACGCATTTAACAAATTATGGGTCAACTAAAGGGTGTCCCACATCAAATTGCATCACGGACAAAACGCTGTAGAAAATTACCCATTGGGTATTTTCTCTTGAAAATTTGGGTAGAAGTAGTTTAGAGTGCATTGTTTACACTGTATTTTTATCATTGTTAGTTTATCGAAAGTTAGACAAAATGGCGTCAAAAGCAACGTCGCGAATTGATTTTGCAAAAGCACCTGGAAAACCCTCAACTCTCTCATCGGAACATCGGAAAACACATTGGAATCGTGCACTCAATGGTGAGTCGTGTGATTAAACGTTACTACAAAACTCTGAGCATCAAATGGTAGGGGAAATGCGGTCAGAATGGATGTTCTATTAGTGATCAGGATCACAAGCGTGTCGTGAAAGCGTTTAAGTGGAATCTCAATGCTTCGGTCAGGGATGTGGCTAAACAGTTGAATCTCCATACAAAGTGCAGAAGGCTCCAAATCGTCACAAACGGAAAAATACGGCGGGAAAGTCGTGAGCCCGGAAACTGTACACCCAGATGCTGACGAAGCCTCATTGTCTCATCATGGATGATGAGACTTACGTCAAGGCGGATTTCCGGCAGCTTCCGGGTCTACTGTTCTTCAAGTAAGGAAGCAGAAACTTTCAAAATTTTCCAAGAAATACATGGTTTGGCAAGCGATCTGCTCATGTGACAAACGGAGTGCGCTGTTCGTGACTACCGAGACTGTAAACGGGGTGATCTAAGTACCTCAAGGAGTGTCTACAGAAGCGTCTGATTCATTCCTATTCAAATGTTGTCCTGGAGTGGTACGAAGTCAACGGGGTCACTTTTGCACCCAAGGACATGAACCCCCCAACGCACCGGAACTAAGGCCCATCGAAAAATACTGGGCTTTTATGTAGCAGCCAGTACGGAAGCATCCCAATGAGGTCAGATCTGAAGAAGACATGAAGAAAAAGTGGGTTTCCGTACAGAAGAAGCTGCAGCCAGATGTTGTACAGAACCTAATGAGTGGAGTTAAGCGTAAGGTGCGGCGGTTATGGAATTGAAGTTGAATGAATAAAATATGCCAAAAGCTTACTAATGGGTTACATCTTATTTTCTAAAAGTTTGAAAAGGATCGGTCAACTAGGTAATTTTCTACAGCATTTTTTTCCGTGATGCAGTTTGATGTGGGACCCCCTTTAATAGAGCCGTTCAGATTAATTCTAGTGCCCGCTTGGTTAATGTTGTGCATTTTAAATACTTTACAAGTGTTTGATATGAAAGCGATTTGTTTGATTGGTTTGTGAATTATAAAGCCTGTTTTCTTACGGGCAGTATTTCAACAAATTCCCTTTTAAACATCATGCGTCGATTCCAAAGTACCGTAGATACGACTTCTAACTTGAACTTCTAGTAACCCTATGAACATAAGAAAAACGTGTTTCTGAGTTCCATCAACTTCAAACTTGTACAAAGTTCCCGCTTCTACGAAGTTTTCCCGACTTTCTACAAAACTCTCTGACGTTAATGAAAAATGTACTTCATCGAAGTTCCCTGAATTTCTAAGAAATTCGCCAAACTTTTTTCAAGTTTTCTGAATTCATACAAAGTTTGATGCAGATCTTCAAATTTATTTGAACTTCTACAAACATTTTCTGATCTCTTACAACATTTTCTGCACTGCTAAAAAGTTTTCTAAAGCTCTACGAAGTTTTTCAAGATTCCCTGAATTTCTACGATGTTCTCCAAAATTAAATGATTAAGTTCTAAAACTTACCCTCGACTTCTAAGAACCTCCCGGAACGTCTGTAAAGACTCGTTCTTGCCGGGTTCCTATACTACTGTTGCCGCTGTATTCGTACCACATGGGATTTCAGCTAATTGGGATCAAACATTGATTGTACGCCAAGAAGTTGTTAAGCAGATAGGATACGGCATGAGTCAGTTTCCGGTAGGTCACAAGTCTGGTCCTATGGAAGATCCATAGAACTCCGTAGATTTTTCTAAAACCATTCATAGACATTTTATCGGAATGAATTCGCAGTTGTGATCAGAAAATGGATCGTGGATACCACAGGATGGTTCATCGAAAAATTCGGAACATCCTTAAAAGTAGTAAAATCATGAATCTGATCCTAGAACTCCGCGTTTTTTTTTCGAAACCACCCATAGACGTCTTATCAAGCTTGAATTAGGATTTGTTGCCGGAATATGAACTCTGGGGACTACGGGAAAGCCCACCGGAAGATCCGGAACATCCGTTAAATTGGTCAATTCATGAAACTGATGCTATTGCTCCGTGGTTTTTTTCGAAACCTCTTAAAGACGTATTATCAGAAGGAATTCGGAGTTGTGGCCAGAAAATGGACGCTGGAGACCACGGTGTGGTCCACCGAAAGATCCGGAACATCCGTAAAAGTGCTTGTTGTGTTTCACTGTTTTCATTTTGTTTCTATTTACTTTGTCTGATGATGTCAAATGAAGCGCAAATCTCGCAGATCAATACAATTCCCATGCAGCAGTAGAATAAATGAATAGTTGTATGCAAGTTGCTACTAAAGCCATTTAGTGTTGCATCACAACAGTATTGTTGCGAGCACTGAAAGTAATTGTGTTCCGTTTTGTAAGATGTAATTAATATTAAGATAAAAGATGATTTTTAAGATACAGTATAAAAACGAACTGAAAATACTGAATGAAAATAGTAGGCACGCTGCCTCTCGGAGTGCAGTTAATCTGGACTTTTACTTCGTCCTATTTCATCCCGATTATCAAGTATCCTTCGCCGTCACCCTGTTTGGTGTAGATCCATCGAACCGCCAAGGAATCACTACGTAGGGTCCTGATCTACCACTGGACGAAACAGTGGTAAATTAATGAATCTAATTCTAGAACTCCACGGTTTTCTCGAAACCATTCATAGACGTATTATTATAAGGAATTCGTAGGGCAGCCCTAAGTTTGCACCTTTAGAATTGATAAAACGATCCATAAAATATTGAAAAACGTTCCATTAAAAACATCCAAATGATCCATAAAACATCGGAGAAAATCCCTAAAAAAGTGTGGATGATCCATAAAAAATATCAATATTATCAATATTTTATGTAAAATTTAGCAACACAATTGTAAAAATGTACCACTAAATTTCTAAATAATGAGCATTGGAATTGTACGAATTACCCATAAACATATTGTAATTGATCCATAAAACATTCAGCAATAAAGCTTAAACTAAAGAAAGTGATCCATAGAAAATCAAGTTTGCACACTTAAAAATATAGGCATGATCCATAAATTAGACGTATATTATTCATGTTTAGGACACTATTTTTTTAAATTTTGATCCATAAACCTTGAAAAATTGTTCCACTGCTTATCTACTTATATTTACTGTCCTGCCCGTGTATTTAAGGTAGATGTGCGAAGCGACGCGACGGGCAAGCGTCTAGAATTAGCTTCCAAAAGAAGATTCTATAATAATATTCTTAAGAAGCTTACTATGGAAGCTTCATTTAGAAACTTTTTAAGAAGCTTATTCTAGACGCTCGCCCATCGTTCTGCTCTTCTGACAAAAAAAAAACACGGGCAGAACAGTAAACCTGAGTAGCTACGCAGTAATGTAGCAATTTTCCAAGGTTTATTGATCAAATTAAAAAAAAAAAAATATGTATATAGACCGAGGGGGGCGACTCTAGCTACGATGTAGGAAAAATTGTGTTTTGTTTCGGCTAGCTGCACACACGCTGAGTAGATAGAAAGAAGATTGATGACGATTCTGAAGATTTCCTGGTAAAAGATGAGGCCCGATGCAAGTAGATGCGAGAAATGAAAGAATATTTTTCGAAGATTGATTCGCTAGTGGTAGATCTGTTGAGCATCTAGAATTGAGATTTGGGTGTGTCGCCCCTCTCGATATAGACTATAATTTGAACACACCAAAATAAGCACGTCTACCAACAACTGGAACACCTACCCTAGGTATGATCCATAAAATTAACATTAATTTTTCATTTTTTCTTAAGAAGATCATTATAGAAGCTTCTTTTGGTAGCTTATTCTATACGCTTGACCATCGCTCCGCACATCTACCTAAAAACACGGCAGGACAGTAAATCTAAGTAGTTAAGCAGTAATGGAGGAATTGTTTATGGTTTATGGATCAAAATTAATAATACAGTGTTCAAAACGTGAATAATATACGTCTAATTTATGGATCATGGCTGTTCGGAATATCGGGATAACCCTGTACCGCCAAACTCAGTGACAACCCTGTGGGAGATTCAGAGAGCTACAGTAACGGTCGCTGTCAGAAATGACAGACGTCAGGTTTGGTTCAACGGAACTGTGAACTCACAGTTCCGTTGAACCAAACATTAAATAGGTCGGAGTATCAACGAGAAAAAAAGAGGAAAAGAAGATACAATTCCAAACCATCTAAAAAATGTTTTACAGCTAAATTATTTTA